TGTATATCCTCATATATATATATATATATATATATATATATATATATATATATATACATACATATATATATGTATATATATACATATATATATATATATATATATATATATATATATATATATATATATCCCTAGTTGATGATCCAGTTGACTTGTGGCTCAAAGAATCTACGATCACATCCGCTTTACCCGGATGGTAAAGGATCTCACAGTCATAATCCTTGACCACGTCAAGTCACCTGCTCTGTCTCATGTTCGGGAACGGTGGATCCATAAGATATGGCAAACTCTTTTGATCCTTGTAAATGGTACACCGGACCCATACATATAATGTATCCAAATCTTGAGGGAAAACACCACTACCCCCAACTGCAAATCATGATTAAGATATCATGCCCCATGCGGTTTCAACTGCAGAGAAGCATACACAATGACTCACCCCCTCTGCATAAGAACTATCCCCAAACCAATAATGCGTGCATCACAATATACAACGAAATCCTCGACACCCTCCGGAAGGGTCAACATTAGGGCCTCACATAACCTCTTTCGTAGTGCCTTAAACACGGTCTGCTGCTCCGAGCCCCAATGAATATCTACTCACTTTCTCATTAGGCGAGTGAGGGATACAACAATCTTGGAGAAATCCCGGATAAATCTCCGATAATATGATGCTAAACCTAAGAAACTTATGACTCTAAAGGGGACTCGGGGACCTCCCACTGCATCACAGCCCCAATCTTGGCAAAATCGACCAAAATCCCATTTTGGTTAACGGGATGCCCCAAAAACCGGACCTCTCGTAACCAAAGCTCACATTTCGAGAACTTGGCATATAGTCGTTCCCACCTTAATACTCCCAAAAGCTCTTCAAGGTGCTCCTCGTGTTATTCTGTGGTCTTGGAATACATCAAGATATCATCAACAAAAACAATAACCAATCAATCGAGCATCAGCCTACACACTTGATTCATCAAATCCATAAACAACGCAGGCGCATTAGTGAGCCCCAATGGCATCACCTTGAACTCGTAATGACCATATCGAGTTCGAAATGTGGTGTTCTCTACGCCTCCTCTATAACCCTCACATGATGGTACCTTGACCTCGGATCGATCTTGGAGAACCAACCAATCGACCAAAGAAGTCGTCAATCTGTGGATGGGGATAACAGTTCTTCATCTTCAACTTGTTTAATTCCTGATAATTAATCCACATCTGGTGTGAACCATCCTTCTTCTTGACGAACAATAGTGGTGCTCCCCACGATGAACTGCTCGGTTTGATGAACGGTTTGCCTAATAGTTCCTGAAGTTGAGAGGATAACTTTTGTATCTTAGACGGTACCAAACGGCACGATACCTTGGCAATTGGAGCTGCACCTGGCACTAGGTCAATCCTGAACTCTACTTACCTCTCAGGAGGCATACCGGGTAACTCCTCTAGAAACACATCAACAAACCCCTAACAGCTGGCACATATGAAACCGAAACTTGCTTCTTACCCAAGTATCAAACACCTAGGAAAGATAACCCATAGAACCATGTTGAATGTATTGTCGATCCTTGGCCGCCAAAAAAACCTGATCCAATCTTGGTACCCTCTCCATAGATGACCAGTTCTCCCCCACTTGAGGTTCAAACTATTATTCTCTGATTCTTGCAGGCCATCATAGCACCAAACCTGCTCAGCCAATCCATCCTTACTATCACGCATACATACCCCCATGGGGATAGGAATCAAATCAATTGAATAAGGCACCCCAAAGATCTCTAAGACACACCCCTGATACACTCTAGATGCAGAAATCCCATGTTCATTGGTGATAGAAACCCACAACGGTCACTCCAACTCGCCAAGGGTCGTATTGAAATCCCTACTAAAATACTGAGCTACAAAGGACCGACTCGTTCCCGGGTAGAATAACACAAGAGCATGCAAAGAATTCACTAAGAATGTACCTATTAGAAACATAAACATAAGAATACCATAAACTAATTGACAGAATGATAAATGGAAACATACTAGTAATGACGTTTGGTGTTGTGTTGGCCTCCTCTATCGTGGTCTAAAAAGCACGACCTCGAGCCCTCGGGGGACCCTCCCTACCCTAGTGCCCATCGTTGATCCTCAAAGTAGTGATCTCTAGAGCCTGTGTCGGTCCCGTTGTAAGCAAAGGACAGTTGGCTCTAACATGGCCAACCTGCTCACAATGGAAACAGATCCTGGTGGTCGGTGCTGGAACTTATTGACGACAGTCCTTGTTGTAATGCCCCTCCTTTCCATATTTTTGGCATTTAAAAGTAGATCGACAAGGACCCTCATGAACCTCGCCATACTTACCACAAGTGTGGCCCCTCTGACTCCCATACCTCACATCAGCGGCCTTGAACCGCTTCGCCGTAGGCTGCAAATATACCGGATCCTGCCTCCACTCCTTCGTCTAGAGCTCCAAGTCAATATCCCGCCTCATACTGTATACACAAATTGGCAGATGTTTGACTTGAGCATGCTTAAGTGCTTAAGTACCTGTTCATCTGAGCTTGCTCAGAAGCAGCAAACTCAAGACAAAATATTGTTTTTCCAGTGAACATCTTGGAGATCTTCGCCACCGACTTGGTGCCCTACCTTTAGTCCAAATACTACTGGGACAATATCTCCCTCTAAACTAATGGGATATATTTCATGCAGAACATATAAGATGACTGATCCCATGTAACGGCAGCTCTCTGCTCCAAAGTATAGGACCTAGTAACCAACCTCCACCAATCCTTTCCCCCCAACCTGAAAAGGTTTAGGGTGCTCTTGAGCTTCTGGTCAGCTGGGCAGGAGCAAGTAAAGAAACATCCCTCAACATCGGACAACCACCTCATAGCGATGATTGGATCCTGAATCCATTCGAACACCGAGGGCTTCGTATTGTCGATGTCCCGATACTAAAAGGCTCATTATCCACAAACCCCAGCGACCACAACGATCGTGGTAGCTGCAGAAACAACAGACTCTGTAAGTGCAGTGTAACAATCATCAAAGTACTCCATCATGGTGATCTTGATACACTTGAACAGCTTCGGTATTTTTCCCCAAACAACAGTCATAACTTTCGAAGAAATCAAATCCCTAATCTTCTCTTCAATCAACCATGACCTATCCTGGCCACTCAATCCAGCTCCTTACTCGAATCTCCTCATAACCACCAAACTAAAAATAAACCACAAAATATTAGATGAGGCACATTTCATACCATATGATCTATATTAAGCAACAAAACCCTAGGGGTTGTGGCTTCCCTATTATGTGTACGGGTCCTGTGCTTCTGGTAGTACGGGCCCATATTACATTCCGCACCTACCCGTATTTGTCTCAGAAGATCATCACAGTGACCCTAAGATCACACACTAGAATACGCATACATCATATTCTCACTCCCTTGAGAAATGTTATATATTCCTCAACTGGTCGGCTGATCACCCATAACCCATCCATGAAACTTGCACCAACCTTGTAGCACTCGTGTATGCTAAACATACATAACATTGGATCATATAGACAGTCAAATACCTGATTCTACCCAAATCCCTTCATCAAACAAAAAAGGAAATAAGGCTAAACCAAACATTCTCAGGCTATATAATCTTAGTTATGTACAACTATGATGCAGTAAATATTTCGTTTCTTAACTAAAATGATATTGCCGATTTGCAATGAATCTCTATCTACCATGAAATTTGTGATTTTTAACTCTAGGTCGTCTCTCCTAGTGTTCTCCTCCTCCAGTTTATTTATTGCTTCATAAATCATTGTCTTAGTTTTCTCCACTTCACTACTCACTGAGATCAACATATCACTCAGGTAAGATTAAATATCATCAAAATAAGATAAAATAGCATGTTAAGAATTTAAAGGAACATTAGGAGAAACAAGAAGATCATGTACCTTCTCGGTCATTAGAGACTTTGAAGTAGTGGTTACGAAGCATCTTCCAACCATCATCTCTTCCTCCTCTTCACAATCCTTTTCTTTTTCTTCTATAATCCCCTTCTTCTCTGACTCTTCCCAATCACTACCAACCAATCCATCATTAACCATGCTCTTCTTTCTTGAATAACCTCCAACATACTTTACGAACATGCTAAAGTGAGTAGGATGACACATTTCTTCATTATCGGAGCCTGAGGACCAAATTTTATAGGTTCCATCATTTTCATCTGCATCCTTCGTAACCAAAGATAGATTCTTTCTCTTGGCATGAAGTTCATTAAGATTTATATCATAGTACGCCTCATCCTTCACGTTCTATTTCTTCTCTTCCTGATTCCTTAACATGCAGTTATTCACAAGATGATTATGCCAATTACAATAATTGCAATTGTAATTGGAATCACCTTTCAGTTTCTTCTGTTCTTCTTTCTTCTCTACCTTCTCCATACTCTTTTTTCAAGCACTCGAGTTTGACAATGGTTTTGTCATTGAGCTTTTTTTGAAGTTTCCACTGATAGACTTTTTGTAGAACTTATTGACCTTACTATTAGAGTAACAAGCAACAACTTCGTCAGCAGAGTTTACTAGAAAATTTTCTTCATTTTCTTCAGTTTCATCATCAGAACCATTCTCTATCCCAGTTATCTTTGAAACAAGTGTCATTGGACCACTAAAATTCATCTTTCCGTTCTCTTCATCTACCTTCTTCACACTAATGTGCTTTCAAGATATTGTAGAGATTCGACAGAGAGTAAGTGTCATAATTCTCCCGAGTCTTTCTTCAATCCTAGGATGGAGGTGATATTGGACTTAAGTATGATAAGAACAACTCCATATCTAGTACACTTGTAGATAAGGTCATTGAATCTTTCATGGCCCACTTCAAAAGACTCACTTTATTTCTGCTTAAAACCAGATAGCTCTGACAAGCATTGCGTCACTAAGCTCTTTTTGGTTCGTTCATTCCCTTGGTAGTTCTCCTTCGAAGTGTCTTAAATCTCTTTCGCAGTTTTACAGCCTCAAACATAGTTGTAAACAACTAGTGGCAAAGCTCCTGGCAGCTCACAGAGACATCTTTCGTCATTCGCCTTCTTATTGTTGCCTTGAGCAATCATGTCTTCAGCAATACAAGCATTTCCAACCACTTGAATAAGATCTGCATGATAAGGTCCTTTTTCAATAGATCGCCAGATATCTACATCAATCCCATTGAGATTGTCTTCCATATGATCCGCCCATTGATTGTAATACTCTAGAAGTAACATTGGAACTTTTGTAGCAAATCCAAGCAAGTTTACGTACTTCATCACAGTTTTGACATTCAGATTTTCCATTTGATTGAGTAGAAAGAGAATTAACTTTGAAAAGAAAGCAATCGGATGTAAAACGATTAACAAAACAAACACATAATTGCTTAATCACAAGGATCGAACGAAGAATAATGTTTTCAACTTGCAGAAAAATTGAATCGGAGCAAATGCTTCAACTAAGATGAAAACATGAAAAAGATTCTTCAAACGATGTGTAGATTCCTTCTCTTATACCAATTTATAGGACGTTTAAATTAAGTTTTAATCGATCGTAAGTAAAATCAGAGTAATTATGAACATAGAGATCTAAATAAGGTCTTCATTCAACTCAATATATCTAGAATGAGTACGATAGGAACTGTAGTGAGATAGAAAGCTCCATACGTACAAGTGAAAAAGTTATAGCCCTATAATGTACCTACCCTATTTATAGAATACTCACAAATTCACAAAAAAAATACTAGGACTTTGACATTACATAGATAACCACTAATGTACCTACTACATAGATACATAATGAAGTCATATGTAGCTTCATCATTTATAAACTATATGTAAACAAAGACAACTACCTAAGGTTCGACATAACATAACATAGATTGACTCAACATAATGGCATGGTTGTCATTGATTAGAAAGGTGAACAAGAGGTGAAAAGGTGAACGAGATTTTAAGTTTAAATAAATGTGAAATATAAAGCATATTTCCTAGTAAAACAGAGGTTAAAGGTGAGGAAGAGGTGATAGATGAAAGTACTCTCATTGGAAATTAACACGATTTTAATGTTGGTTCTTTTAGAAAGAAATTTTTTATAGATGAGTAAACATTTTCTAAACATGTTACATATAAGGGAAGAATTTTTGGGGATAAAAATATGTTTTGGACAAAATTATTTTATGGAGAAGCATATTATGTATAAGGGTCGAATTGGTACGGTACCGGATTTTTTTCTCTAACCATGTACCATACCAATTATAGTTGATATATAATTTAAGTTACAACTACCGTACCAAGTATAGTTGATACCAACTTAATTGGTACCGGTAGGTTCGATCGATACATGTTGGTAATGGTACATACCAACATGTATGGGTGTTTTGCAAATTAGGATTATTGTGTTATTGTGCACTTAAAGCATAGATGTGAGTTTTGTATATAAGAGTTTTGTGAATGGTTGGATTGGAAATTCAATCCAAAAAGATTTTATAATTTTGTACCATGATTTTAAACTTAATAACGGAGTAAATGTATACATTAATATAAGTTTAAACTTTAAATGTTACTACACGGTAAAGGCTAATATTAATAGTGTTGTAGTTAAAACCTTCTACCATTATCGTACCATTATTAATTAATTGGTTTGGTACTACAAGCCAAACATGTTGGCTACCAAGCATATTGGTTACCAATATAATTAGTTCGGTTGGTACATGTACCACTCCAAAAATCATAATAAACTTAAAATTTTCAAAATCAACCATTAATCAACATTGTTTATAAAAAGTGACATTGTTTCAAAAGCATTATTTCAAATCAAAGTTTCCCCAAGAACCAAGGACATAAAACAAGAAGATGTGTATGATCATGCCTTTACCTTCCCACGATCCTCAAAAGTACCTAAAATGATAAACTAAAAATTGTAAGCCAAAGCTTAGTGAGTTCCCCCAAAGTACTAGCACACATATATATAACAGCTGAGACATCCCCAATTTCACAGCCCGAAAAGACCGATTTTTTATGCTTGATTTTAAAAATCGAATTATCTTTTAAGGAAATATGTTGCACAATTTGTTCCCAAAAACATGATAATATATTATCAAAACATTTACGAGGAAATATATTTTATTCATTTTAAAACTTTGGGATGTCATCGTCAATACAAAAAAAAACTTAAGCATAAACAGAACTTACATGCATTTACACTAATGATTTTACATCTCCTTTAATCTCTCAGTGTAACGTAGCTTCGTATCGACACCTGTGATATAAATAACTTGAGTCTGTTAGGTTGGGAAACCTGGTGAGTACATAGGGTTTTCAACCCACAATAATAATGTTATTATGTTTTATCATCAAACAATTAACCCAATTACCCATCCCCATTATCTTCTTTATCTCTTAAGGATTTACCCTAAGAATCATCTATCACTCATTCCTAAGGATTCATCCTAAGGAATAGGCACGAAGTTACATCATCATCAGGGTTTATACAATAGGCAATAAGTCCATAACTGCCACGGTTTATACAAGATGTGCTAAGTCCATAGCTCTCATTTATCAAGAATCATTTATCACTTATTCCTAAGGATTCCTCCTAAGGAATATGCACAAAGTCACATTGTCTCCAGGGTTTATACAAAATGTACTAAGTCCATAACTCTCATTTACCAAGAATCATTTATCACTTATTCCTAAGGATTCCTCCTAAGGAATAGGCATGAAGTTACATCGTCGCCAGGGTATATACAACATGTGTTAAGTCCATAGCTCTCATTTATTGACATTATTATTTTCAAGAGTCCACTTGCAATACATGTCAATGGGATTTTAGAGTACATCTGATGAACATATTGTTCACACACCTACAAGTTGCGAGTCTGCTAGTGTTCCACGAACAGTCTACAATAGTCCATGTTGTCATCCATACTCTGCTGAATGACGGGGGCCAACGTTTCGGTAAGGGCTTCTCTCTTATTCAACCTCTCACCCACAACTCATGATCTATATCACCGGTCATCTCATTTATCCAACTCATCTTTCATCACATACCAACTATTTCATATACCCATGTTTTACCCAACATTTATGTAGATATAAAATACATATACAGTTTAAATCATTTAAGACCTGTATAAATCATTCATTCAACATCCATCTCAAATAAACAAACAATACATATTCACATAGCACGTATTCTATATAAAATACTTCATATCTATGCGTAAGATAAAAGTAACTATGCACTAACATGATTTAACGATAATCGGGCAGCACTTCGTTTCTTAAAATAATCATTTCCAATGAATTCGTGAGCTTTATTGAAAACTCAGTCTTGCGAGGATTGAGCTTCAAACCAAAAAAGATAAATACGGGGTCTTCAGGCACTTTGGGACGTTCTTCAGGTGTTAAGTATGATCCCGGGGCTTCGGGGGATGTTGGTATAGCTTAAAAATGGTTTAGAGGTGAAAAAGTGTGAAATTTGGTTACATCAACCGGGAGGCATCGCACCTCCCTTTATATAGGGAGAGGCCTCGGACCAAAGGGGGGAGGGAGAAGGCACGCGGCAGCAGCGAGGGGGAGGAGGGTCACACGTTGGATGCGAGGCGAGGCAGGTGGTGAGGTCGAGACATGCGTCAGCAGTGAAGGCGAGGACACGCTTTAGCTTCAGACTGGATCTTGCTTCGGTCGAATCAGCAGGCGGACACAGGGTGGGCTCGCATGCGAGGCGACGTGGCCGAGCCCTGACCTTGTGTATGCGAAAATTCTCGATTTTTACGCCCCGAACTTCAAATTTTCATAACTTTCGCATACGAGCTCCGTTTTCGATGTTCTTTATATGCATGCATAGGTGACATTATAATCTACAACTTTTGTTTAGACTTCGTCAGCCAATTTTGATTTAGTTTTAATATTATTATTTTTAACAGACCCGGTGTAACAACCCGTTATTTCAAGTCAGTAAAAATCGAGTCCTGTAACCTCTTTGAGAAAAGAATTAGAATATCATCGAAAAATGAAGTATTCAAAAACTCTATTTGGAGTACACTATGTGGTAGTTATCGTCTTAAGGTTTCCAAACATATAAATAACACAAAAATCCGAGTTATAACGAAGAAGTTATGATCATTCTAAGTTTTCCGACAAAAACCGGCAATACGAAGTTGCGTAAAAACGCAAAGTTTCAATAAAACACTTTCCGACCTTAGGTGTCTAAATGAAAGTCGTAGATATCGTTAAACTACAAACATGCATAAAAAGAACGCTCAAATCGGACATCATATGAATAAGTTATGAATTTTTAAAGAAATTCCTTAATCACGTCATTTTAATAAATAAATAATAAAAATAATTCCGGAATTTGCCAACGGAATCTAAATGAAAGTTGTAGATCGTAGTCTCACCTTCGCGGGGATATAAAGAACGTCAAAAACGGAGTTCGTATGAAGGAGATATGAATTTTCGAAGTTTGATAAATAATTTATATATAATTTTTATTAAAACTTCGGTATTATCCGAAGGGGAGTCAGCGTCCTCATCCGAGGTACGCGCTGCGTACCCCTGTACGCCCCGCGTACCCGAGGAACTTGGCCTCAAACCGTCCACGTCGCCCTATGCGAGGCACCCGACCCGCCCGTCCGACCCGCCGTCCCATCCGACCCGACAGCCTGAGCCGTCCCATCCGAGGCCGAGGCAGTCGAGGCTTCGGTCACGCATGACGTACGCGTACGAGGCCTCTCAGGCCCCCTATAAATAGCATGCGAGGGTTCCCGGGAAAATGGCCATTCTCTCTCCTTTTTCTTGCGTTTTACCTCGTTTTCCGTGCTCGCACTACCCCGAAGCCCTGGTCATTTTGTGCAAGTCCCGAAGGTCGATTTTACTCCCGAGGAATCCCGAGATTTCCGAGGAAAATCCATTTCCCGAGACGAAACTCTGCCCGGTTTTCCATCTTGCTATCTTCAAACTTTCAAGTGAGTTCATACCCCTTTCAAACACACTTTAAATACATTTTAAATGCTTTTATACTCTTTTAGGGGGGGAATACAAGTAAACATACGGTTATTATCGTGTATTTTATAAAGTTTCACTTCACTTGTTTTATCGAATAAATCACTTGGAACTTATTACTATTATGGAAAACTCTTGTCATACTTTGTGTGCATTAGACATTATACAAAGTATATAATGATTTCAAAGTACCTTTCATTGTTAAGTCTTTTATACATTCTAAAAACTTATGATTTTGCTTTGTCAAACATTGTGAAAAAGGATAAACTTTGCATACAAAACTATCACTTTAATACGAC